CTCTTATTACTGAGTGGAACCCTTACGCCTATCTATCGATTACAGCATTATAAGAAAATACCGTACTCTTGCCTAGCTAATCATGTGCTAAGAACATTATTTGCTAGTCACACAGGTTCACCTCACACTGTGTGTGATCTGCAGTGCCGGTCTTGAAAGGTGACGTCACCCACATTCTGGCTCTTCATTGGGTGATGGTGATGTAATGCCATTTATCGTAGCTTTAGCAAATTTAAGTGGAAATAGGGTACCTCATCTCTAGCCATGGTGTTAAATGAAACATTCTACACACTATGGTAATACCCTGTAATATTTTTAGAACAGATCAACTTCTCTACTAAGTATCAGTCATTGTGAATACATCACTGTTGAATATTTATTTACATATGTTAATCAAAATCTAGTAACTGAATGGAACACTATTTGAAATTGAAAATCTTCACAGGATGTCAAGAAAGGACGGAGAGCTCGGCAGGAACAAGCGGAGAATGATACAAAGCCAAATGGTGACATCAACGGTGACGAACCAGTAAGCGATGTTGGAAATGACAGGTGACATCAACGGTGACGAACCAGTAAGCGATGTTGGAAATGACAGAAGGGTTAGTTAAGCGTTTATGTTGATTCAATTTGCAACAAGTCTACCGTTTCAAGGTTTTAAGTAAATTAAGAAAAAAAGAAATATTGTGATTACGCAAAGCTCTTGTATTTTGTAGTCGCCAGGTCCGCCGTCAAAACCAACAAGACGACAGGGTGGATGGGCTGATGAGACCTTAAAATCAAGAGAGTAAGTATTTCTGAGTCATTTTTTAATGAATAATAATAATATAGAGATTTATATGAAATGAAAATTAGTTCACAGTGAGGTAGTTATTAGCCACAGATTTTTTTTTTTTTTTAATGTATTTTATTAATTTTTGTTTTTAACTTTTGGATGAATTATTTTTAAACTTCTTTATCTCTTGCTTTATTGTTTTAAATTTATTGTACAGTACGTTGGATTTTTACGCCTAATTGACAGCATATCGTAAAACCTTGAATAGAAGCCCTAGGCTTCTTTATTTTTGCAACTTTTGATGGGCTTCCTTTCGAGATGTGTGTATTTTTGAGGCTACTTTTGCAAAGTAAAGAAGGGGGCTTCTTTTAAAAATGAATACTGTAAATTTTGGGAATTGCTGCTATAAAACAAATAAATATGGCCACTGTATCATCAATCTTGGAGTGTATGCCATTAAATCACCTAAACTGCTGTGTAACCAAGCGTGTATTTCTACTTTTGCAAACTAAAGAGGGGGTCTGCAATTCAAGACGGGCTTCTTTCTCGAAATTAAACCCATTGGATTTCTTTTTGAGGTTTACGATATTCATTTATATAGTTTATATTTCTAATTATTTATATTCTTTAATTTCAATCTATTAATATTGTTATATTTTATGTATACTTCATATATTTTATTTTCAATATAATAATTTATGTTATTGTATTTAATTGGAGTAATAGAATAATACATTGGAATATATTTTAATGTAATTTGTCCTATTATTATCATTTATTATTATTATTATTGTAAAAAAATATATACAAATCATTTATATTTATGTAATCTTATTATTTTATTACTTTTATTTCCTGTCTCTTACCATTTTAAACATTCATACAATTTTGAATGTAGATCGGAGGTTGACGAAAAAGGAAATGTGTAAGTGTCACATGTAAATAAACACATTCTTTGATGGCAGCAGTAGAAAAATAATTATGTTGGTAGAACTCAGTTGTCTTGTGGAGTAGTTTCTTATTTTTGCCCAGCTTTAAGTACTGTACCACTGTCACCATCAATATACTATACCTTTCCTGAAATCATGAAAATAGACATACTATACCATTACTAAAAGAGCAGGTACATAAGTGCAAGACACCCCTCCCTACACACACACACACACCCACACTTTTGACAAAAATCTTAATGACTTTATACAAATATTATATTTAACAAACTGTCTCAACTATCAGTTGGATTTAACTAAAGTAATCTACTGTATTGTATTACCAGTACATTCTTAATCTTAATCGAATACATTCTCTTGGCGAGTCCTCAATGTCCGTTCTTTTTTTCTCTTCCTCTCTACTGAAATCTTTTTTTACTTCCCGCTTCATCCACCTCTCTTTCTGCCATCTGTTTTGTTTTATCCGTTGTGCCACCTCCCCTTCTGGACTTAACTTCCCAGCTTCAGTCACCTCTCCAGGTTTTCCTTGTTGCTTTCTCTTTCACCTCCTTTCTTTCTTTCCTTGTCAGAGAATTTGTGGAACCACCACTGCTCTAATCCTCTTTGTTTTTGTCTTCATCATTCTTGTCTGTATCTTTCTCATCCCTCTGTCCCCTATGTTTTTTGTGGTTTGTATCTGCCTTTTACATCTTTTTACTTCATTCTTTTTTGGTGCCTATATCTCCTTTCATGTCTTATCTCATTATCTACTACAGTATTTGTCTTCACTCTGCATTCAGGTCAATGTTTTTATAATTCCTGTATTATTTTTATGTGCTAAATTCTTCATTATACTGTATATAGTTCAAATGCTTCAAAGTCTTAGTATTATGTACTATGTACAATAGAAATGAGTGTTTCATTTTGTTATAGATAGCTTACAGGTCTACTGTGTACTGCTTTTAAGAATGGGTTTAAACCTGTATTTTATTTGATATATTACTGCTCAAAACTTTGCTTTGCAAATGGAGTAAAACCAAGCAAGTTGGTGGTACTATAATCATACTCTGTTTTCTTTCAGTAAAATGCTGTATTTCAATGGAGTAAAAGTTGTTTCTACATTGAATTGCTAAATATTTTGATTTTGCTATGTACAGTACTTATAATTTGATCAGATAATATGTGCACCAATCAATACAGCACACTACACTATTACTACATGCTGTTATTAAAGGAATACTCTTATCATGCATTTTATAAAGCATTATCACTTAGCAGTTATTATTCTTTACGTAGTATTTAATTGCCGCAAACATCTTGTAGTTCCAAGTGTGAATTTCTATGTCAAACGTCAACATCCAATTACTCCAACTTAGCTTCAATAACTGTCTAATAATAAAATATATGTACATGCCATTTGTTTTTTTATAGGACTTGACCTAAACATAGAAATGCGCACTTGAGATAGTTTTATATTAATATTTTTTAATTGTCTTCATTAAATATTACTTAATGGCCAGTATTTATGTATTTTATATGCTGTCAGTAAAGTTGTCAGAACTTGCTAAATTCAAAAACTTGGTACATTATTTATCGTTTTGTTCTAGTTCAAAATTTAAAGACTCTACCAGTCCACCTAATCAAGCTGATTCTGATGATGGTAGGTATAGCTGTTCCCAATACCTATTAATTTACTAGTAGTACAATTATAAATTTACATGCAACTCTTATTGTTTGATAATTTTAGGTGTTGATGTCATCCATGAGAGAGACTAAATCCAAGCATACACTGTGTTGTACAACCGTCACAGGGTTTGAATTTCCCAACAGCAATTGCTGTAGAAATTGCCTTTAGAAGAAGAATAAATTGCTGTAGTAAAGCCATATCCCACATTAACCATTTACTGATGGAGCATTTTGAGGAAATTTGAACCCTGGGTGGTGTGAGCAGTAGACAATGGAATGCTGTCTACTGATTTTCAGTGGAAGTCATCAATCATCAATTAAAAACAATCCATTGCACGCACTGAGCCGTTGCATTCTCCATGTCGGGCACTGTGAGTGGCCGGCTTAACTATGCTGAGGTTCAGTACAGTATTAGTTTTGTTTTTCTTCTAGACATGCCTGTAATACCAGATCTTGACGATGTCGAAGAGGAAGACATGGCCACACAAATTGCAGCGCCTCCTAGTGTTCAGGTTAACAGAGTAGCTACATACCGTGAACTTGACAATGATCTCCTAAAACATTCCCAACTTTTAACGCTTGTAAGTGCCAGTACAATTAGTGGTGTTTTTGCTGTTACTGCTGGTGTTTGTCAATAGTTTTTTTAATCTATCCAATTTTTGGTATAGTGGATGGTGTACAAGTGGCATACATAGTAACATTTGTGAATGTATAATTTCTTTTACATTTAAACCAAAGCTCTTATAACATGATAGCGTTCTCCACAGTTTTACGTGTATCAAAATAGAAGCATCTATTCACGCACAGAAAGTAATTGTAATTGAGAGAGAGCATCCTAGGTGTTACCATGGTTGTTACAGAATTTGCACAAAGGTCATAGATGTCATAGTTGACAAGTAATGGTAATTTCGAGAGGGCGCCCAACACCGCATTCTTACAGGATTTGCCTGCAGAAGTTGTGGAGAATGCTGTCTTGTTCTGACAGTATACGATCTTTGATTTAAACCCAGAGTTCTTAACAGTGGTAAACTGGAACACAGCATAGTTAATAATAATATCAAAATGTTTTCTTTTTGACCTAGGATAATGAAATAGATTTAAAGCTGCTGACTAAGGTGTTATCAGCAGAATCGGAAGTTGTGGAAGAGGACAAGCCATGGGATTGGGATCGTATCTTCACAGAAATATCATCGGATTTACAAAATGAATGGGACAAAGAAAACCAAGTGAAATAGTGCAATAAACAGTGTAGTAGATACTAGAGCCCACATTCAATCCATCCATTCCTATTAAACTTTCAACATCCTGAAGTGTCTATCATTGATTAGCGGTGATGATTCCTATAAACTATAGAGCAAAAGTTTGTAAAACATTTTTATACTGTATAAGCCTTCCCAAAAATTGGTCTAATTTTTAAATGTTATTTATTTTCATCATCGTCAACAATCAGCTGAATTTTGTAAAACCAAACTTTCATTCCAGTTCAAAGGTATCGTTTTTGTATTATAATGATTGATAGCTCGCTTTGAGTTGCAGCCATTAAATACTTGAACCAATATCATCTTAAATTACGAATATTTTAGGTTGTTAGGTATCACCTTGATTAAAGCTAGGCTAGTTTAAAAAGTTGTAAATATCAGTGACTTGTACATGTATGATCCAGTGTACTGTAATATGTAGTTGATACCCTTTTCATTGAATCTTAACATGATGTGTATCGATAAAGTTTATAGCCTATTTACACAGAGTGCAATAGCAGCACATGACAGAAACAACATTTTTCCTGGCTTGTTCTGCAGTAGTCCACATGCTCAGAAGAATGATTCATAATACTTTTTGATGCATGGGAGTTTTCGGAAATTAAAAATTATTCATAAAGAATATAATATGTTATATTTTGTTTGTTTATTTATTATTTATTGCCCTCATCAAAACAAAACAAACCAGTACATAAAAACACACAAAAATGAGAGCAAGAGGATAACCCTATAAGCTCTATGAGCTTGTTTCCATAGGGGTCCTCCTGCTGCTGTCGTGCTCTGTATAATAGGCATGTTGGCATAATTAAGTCCAAATTTATCTTCATGACTCGTTAAATCCAAATGAAAGCCCCTCAGAAACCCTTAATAAACGCCCCAGGGCATTAATTTGAATAAATACGGTACTGCATAGTAATTTTTGTATTGTACATTGGTCTGCGTAAAGCCAAAAATTTTGTCACTTGAGCTCTGTCCACTTATCAAATTTTATGCGACAAAAAAAATGTGATGTGCCCATATATATGGGTACAATGACGTAGCATCACATAATTGTATAAAAAAAAAAAGGTTTTTTTATGTTGTCTGTCAAAAAAGTTTTTTATAAAACACCTTTTCACCAATAAGCAAACACTACAAATCACAACACCACCAGTCGGATTTGATAATTCAGTTTCATCAAAATACATCCTATTATTTGATGCAGTTTGATGTATTTTGATATTATTCCATCACATTTTATGTGATGTTTTTTTGATGAAATATGATAGTGTAGACAGAGCTTTAAAGCAATATCAGTAATTATGAATGAATTAATGTTTTATATATTGAAGTGTTTTTGTGAAATGATTTATGAAGAATCATAATGAAATAACTGACAAAATGCATCATTATACAGTGTTTTGTGTTTACTGTACAATCCATATCGTAACTCAAAATTTGTAAAATGCAGCAACACTGGCATAACCAGTATCACATCGACAATAAAAAAAAAAAAAGCCAGCAAGCCAGCCGAAAAAAATATCACCATCAACTGGACAGAAATTGCATGTTGACTTATTTATACCATTCTGGTATTTTTAGGCCCCGTCCAGGCTATCAAATTTTATTTGACAAAAGCATGTGATATGCCTATGCTCATATGACATCAAAACATGCCTATGAGAATACAAGAGTTTTTTTGTCAAAAAAAAAATTTGATAATCTGGGCAGCTTAAGCATCAACAAGAAAATGACGACCTCACTACAACATTCAACATACCATATCAAAATATTGTTTTGTAAACTAACAAATTTAAATTGATTAATTCTGCTAATTAGCATTAAATAATTACAAATGTAAATGAGTTTAACTTAAACATGTGAATAGAATGGAAATTTTACGACACTAAAACGCAATCATTTGTACAATTCATTGTTTTACATAAAACTGAATAGAGAAACCTACCTACTGTAGTACTTATACTGTACACTACATAAATGTAGGAAATGATAAAAAGCTGCAAATATTGTATGTTTGCATCATTTCTATAAATAATTATTATTTGAATACATTCACTCGTAATGAGGACGAACTGTTTTACAATTAATTTCAACGGAAACAAACAGCTACTTTTTGCCAAGCTTATTAAGAGTAGCATTTCATACAAAAACCACTCATTTTAATGATAATTACGAGATATTTTCATGCCAAAATTTATTCAAGTTAAAGCAATGTATTCTTTTTTTTTCTCCAACAGATTAATAATTTATTCTTAAAATGTATAGCATACTACACGATTAAATATCAATGAAAAATATCTTACTTGGCAAAGTTTCTTTGTCCGTTCTAAATAATTTCAATTATAGTCCCGTATTGAAAAATACTTATCTATATAGCAAAATATTATTATGGAGGAGAATGAGGTTATTTTGCTTAATTTTTTCTGCTTCATCCAGGAGTACATCTCAAAAAACATTAAAATTACTAACAGCACCACCAGCCCATGAGAACAACTTTGAACATAGCAACTAAATATGACATTTCTTGACCACATGTAAAATGAACCAACATAGAGTTAATAGCAATAATAGCATTGTAGCTTACAGCTAATAACCAAACACTAATGTATATTTTGATTTAGGCAGATATCCTGCACTTTTCCAGTAAATATAAGTAATCATACCTTGTCAAAAATTAATTACATATCATAACTCTACTGAAATTGATTGGGTTATTGTGTTGCATTAAAACCTTACTATTGTTTATCTTCCAGAAATAGAGGAGGAAAGGGGGGGGGGAAACGTTATCTGCTCATGGAAGACAAATAATTCCATGCCGGAGGGACTATGAGCAAATGCGGGAAGCTCACCCAACATTTCAATTGCGTTAGAATTAATTTGTTGACCTATTTTCAGACCTCCGTTCTTGGTCTACGATTGCAAAAGGAAGAAAGAAACATTGGTAAAATAAAGCTAGAATGCAACATCAAAAAAAATATTATATACACAAAGATACTATAGTGAATGAGTACCTTAATTAATATTGAAATGTGTTTTTAAAAGAAATCTACACTTCTAAAATTATAAGCCAAAAGTGTAGAAATATTTTTGCAGATAATAATGATGGTACCCATATGCATTATGAACTTTAAAAAAAAGTATTATAATTCTCGGTGTTTGGGCATGCATGTGTTTGTGCTTTTGTGGTTAAGAAAAATATTCTGTAAGTGCAACAATCTAAGAATAAACTAAGAATATTATGATGTGTGCGTTCAATTGAGTTTCCAAATATCATTACATGAGATACACAAAGCCTACAGCCAAGTAAGCATAATTGTAATTATTTCTTAATAAATATACAGAACGTTAAGGTGTATTTATACCCAAAAACTAAATGCTTTTCTGTTACAAGTACAACTGGCCACTATACGAACTAGACGATGATGTTTCCAAAAAGATATGAATTTAACGTCTGACATACACAAATGCAGAAATTAAAATATTACTAAAATTAGCTTCACTCCCCATCACTGTATTCTAGTTACAAAAATATTTTGCAAATGCAGCACTTGTTAGCAAAAAACAACTTAACAAATAATGGTCAAATGAAAAGTGACATTATCTCCTCTTCGTATTATTTTTTACACATTTTCTTTCTTTTTAATATTATTATTTTTATAGATACCCTCCCAAAAATTGCATGCATTCCTTTTATATTCAACTTCAAGCATGGCCAGTATGTGTGTGTTGTTTATATGCAAAAATATATCATTAACATTATTCTCTGATACCACTTCCACAGAAATTCTCATCAACAAAAAGGAAGTTTGAATTCCATGTCTGTTATTAAGTGATAACAGTCACACGTAAACAAAACCAACAACTAACATCAAAATAAAAAAACACAGATGGCCAATAAAAAAATATTTCCCCCTTACATATAAGATGAAAATGTTATTCCTAAAAAAGGAAATAAAACTGTCTGCATGCCCCTAGAGGGCGACATTTCAATTTACCATCAAGGTATGGGACTCGATTGGAGCAGCTGAATCATACAATGTGTCTGTATCCTTTGTTGGCTCGCCAGCTAGCTGGCACTGAAGCGAAAGCGTCCCAGCACCGCAGTCGCAGAAAAATCTGAAAAATAAGTCATGTGACGTGAAAATAGGAAATAGTGAATTATTGTTAATGAAGTACAGTTCGGAGGGAGATGATCACATGTCGGCTGATAGGTCATATCTTTGAATAAAAACAAAGAAATATAGATATATGATATTTCAAGAACCAAAAAAAAATGATTAATTTAAACAAAGAAATTATAATGTATTTCTAATTACTGTACTGTATAACTCGCTTTGTCGACTATTGACATATTAATCCTAGTATCAACAATACAAAACACACCAATAATTTAAAATAAATTCAAAAGTGTTGTAATTTCATATACTTGATTATTATTAATGTCATTCAATTTTATACATAAGTAAAGCAAAGGTTTAGGTAGCAATTTGATGCATAACTCTTAAAATAGACACACTCCTTTCACCACTAGTTATTGCTGCCTTCTTAGGTGATTTAATCCTTTTTTATTATTACTATTATTATTATCATCACTAACATTATGTTTTGTTTTTTTTCGTTGTAGGAGCAAACAGTGGCATATGTACGGGGCACAGGTCCTGACAAAAAAAGCTCTTATCCCCTCCCCACAATGTAAAATATCTATTAACAAAAACAGAAATTTCACATTGAGACTATTACTAGTGATGTTGCTAATCCTAATGTTGAAATCTCAATGCTCTGAACAGTATACAAAAATTGATATGAATAATATTACAATTAAATAAATTATTATTGTTTTTTTATTATAATTTTCAAAATAGATTTTGATTTAATGAGGATTACTATTGGAGCCTGTCAGAGTTAAAATGATTCATAGTTCCTGTTAGATTATTCACTTCCGGGTCAACAGAGCACACAGCACTGACAGTTGCTAAGCATTGTAAACAGCCTCTAGGAGTTGTCACTCATTCAAAACAACCATAATTCACTGAAATGGGTTTACTTTGGATTTTATATGAGTTCAAGCTTTTATTACACAATAAAATATGAAGTAAAATATGTATTTAAATAATTATGGCTTCATGAATGATATTTTACTAATAATAGGGGATAACGGTAGACACGTTCCTGCTAATAGTGTACTGAAGCTTTTTGCTCTTCTTGGATAATTCAATATTCTATTTGTTTTGTCATTTCTATTTTACATTTGTTATATCACAAAATACATAAAACATTTTTAATAAATAAAACAACTGCCTTAAATATGAATATCTACATTTTTATTGTAACCATTACAATTATAATATCATGGTATCATAATTGTTAACATTATTAATTATTATTATTATAACAATAATCAATATTAATAAAAGCTCATATGTGTTAATATTCAAATTAAAAACTATTAGTATTTTTTTACTATTTTTTACTATAAACTGTATTATCAAAAACAACATTAAATTAAAATACTATTATTATTAAAAGCACTATGAAAAAGTATCTTAACGATTATGTACTGTATATTACTAGATAACATACTAACAAAATATGAATATTACCTTAAATACATATTTCTTTTTTGTATTAATAATTATTATATCATTTTATTGCAATTAATTATTGCATTATTTTTGTAACCATTAATATTAATTTCTCTAGACTTTCTATGAAACATTACATATATTTATACTCAGCGACAGACAGAATCAGATAAAAATAAAAATAAAATATCAAGAAGTACAGACATGCACAGACATCACCTGTCTTACAAGTTACATGAGCGCACATAATCTGTGACATCTCACATGGGCTTAGTCACCATGTAGCCTGCACACATGGGAGCCTTGCTCATGCTGTCAATTGAGGAAAGGTGAATATGGGTTATGTTACACCTACCTGTCATGCGTGACGAACTCCACGTCATGTCCTGCATGGCATCGCTTGATACAGTTCACGCAAATTGCATTACGTTCTGTCGTGTTACATGTTTTACACCTGAAAATATACAACAATAAAGGTTTTTTTTAAAAGAAAATTTCTACCTAAACCTACTGTGAGTAATACCTTGTCAGTTTAGGTGCCCACACTTCATATAGAGCCTTTACAAATTGCAGAATTTAATGCATGATTTAAAACCAATTTCATTTCTTAAGCCATATTTAACGAGATCACTCAAATTTTGATTGGTAGAACAGCAATGATCATTAATAGAAAACATTGCATTTCTCAAGCTAAACTGATCTTGAAAAACTCTTGGGAAGTTGGAGAGAGGCAGTAAATCTTTGAATTTATAGATAACAATAAAAATACTTTTTATAGTTAAATCTATTGTCAACATAAATATTATAGTGTGTACATATTTGCTATTATACTACACCTGTATATATTTTATTAATTTGATTGGTTGAAAACAGGTCACATGAGATTGATTTAAAATAAATATTCCATGGTAATTTGAATACTAGTCAACGATCGTTGAATAGTACTTTTTCATCTTCAAGACGACAAAAACCTCAAATGCAACGCGAGCGAGAAAAATTAGCATAGCCTAGGCAACCTGCAAGTCAACGAGGAGTTGGTCATACAGTAGCCCTCACTCCGCCGATTGGTACTGGACCGTTTGTACTTTTGAGCGAAGAAGGTTTGGAGTAATTACTGAATGAAAGTTAAACATATGGAGTAATTTGCCAGCTTCAGCGATTAGGATTTGAGTCTATTATTAGCGGAAACTGAACCTGATCGATTCCTAGGCCAAGGGCCAGCCTTAAGGGCCAGCCTTTTGGCCGGTTCTATACGGGCCTTCGAAAGGAAGATGGGTCCTTGTATTCGAAGAGAGCATGCAGGTGCTCGAAGTGATACTGCTAGATGTTGTATATAACAAATAATGAATGCGAATCGTTGAATAGAACATCCAATCTTTCACCTCATGAAATATTCTACCCCATACATACATAAACATTCATTATTTGTATAATGTTAACTGTAGTTAAGCTGTTCTTGTATATTCCTGGGAATACTGGTTACATAAAGTCTTATCTAATAACATACAGTATTGTTTGTTTTCCTGAATAATAAAGAAAAATTGACCTACCTGTAAAAGTCATGCATCGGATAACTTGTGTAGCTAGAGATTTTGTACAAACACCTTCCACAGCGAACAGCCTTTTCTATTGCATTTTTGTTGCTGTAAACTTTATTATCTACACAAATACAATACAACACTTTGGTTAAAACCATGTATTGAAGGCTCAAGTTTCTGATTATATTAATTAGCATTACTTACTTATATCTTTATATCTACCGTTAAATCTGATATTTGGCAGAGTCGAATTGAGGATGCAATGCCATAGAAAATGTTAAACAGGTATATTATTGTATTACATATATTGTGAATTATATTACATATAAAGCACACTATAAAATATAACAAAGTAATTAATTAATACATTATAAAGCTCTACCTATAAAGCACTTTTGCCAGACAATCTGGTACCTTATTGAATATATTTATACATCAAAGGATCCACTGATTATTTGTAAATAAATTATGAGTATGATAACGGCGAAGAATGACAAACATGAGGCCATAAATTGATTCTACGTTTTGTTCTTCATTTGAACATTGTCAATGACAAGTTCAAATAAAGAACAAAAACACAGAATAAATTATGGCCTCACATTTGCCATTTTTCAGAGATACCATACTCATGTTATATATACATAACATATAAATAAAGCTCAAGAAAAATTATGTTGATGTACCAACCTTTCATGTCTGGCTGTACACCGGTGGCCAGGCATATCCCTGCAAATTTGTTGTTAAACACATGATTAGCCTCTAGCGTAGCGGTGGCGTTGTTGGTGATCTCGATCCCCGCAGCAAGACCATCGTATATGCGATTACGCTTTAATTTCGGGTGACTCTGAGAACTAATTAGTACGCCAGCTTGTGTGTTTCTGAATATATCATTATATTCAAGGAGACCTAGAGAGAAGAAAAAACAAAACCATACTTTAAATAACAAATCAAATTGTGACCCACGGGTGTGGAGGTGCAGCATGCTTTCAATTCCAGGGTCCTCGGTTCGAATCCTGCAACACATAATGATTTTGACTAAAAAAGGCGTATTCACTGCGCATGACGGTTGTTGGCCAACGCGATTCTACAAAGGACACAACGCAACGACACGTGCGCAAGGGATCGTTTTAATTACGATCCGTTCAGACTGCTAACGACAATCAGCAGACGGCGTTGCGTCGTCTATCGCTCACAGGGAGAGGAGTTGGATTCATCATGCGACATCTACATGAATTGTGCACTATATAAATTTCCTTATAATATTATTAAAAATAAAATGAATTTTTGAATATTTCAATTCATTAACATAAGGTAGCAAATATCAATGGTTTGAAGCTTGTCTTTAAAGTATCAACACACAGCGTTACCGATAAAAATGTTTCATTTATCCAATCTGACTAATACAGCTTCTAGTTTTTACGTACTACTATCAGGAACCTTAAACGATAATGTCTATAAGCTTAGGTTTCTTATGTTGTCGAAAAAAGAACATGCAAAACTCCATCATCATGGACAGTTTCATTTTTCCTTGAGACGTTAACACCACTATCATAACGTTCACCAAGGAATTGAACATTAGTGATGTCGTCTGATGTTGTGGGAGGAAGATTAAAAGCAACTATTTACAATCAGAGAGGAAACGAAGTCCATCTGGTAAATGACGTCTGAATTTCACCAGTGAATAGGTGTGGGCACTAAAGAGAAAATGATTTCCAGGTAACACACTGTCTGTGTTGAAATATGGATAACCTCAAAAAATAAATTAAAATACACTGAATTGCCCATTTAAAGGATCAAAAAAAGTTATAACAAATGTGAACGGATTTGGCTAAACCCACCAGTTGTGGAAAATTTTAAAAATGTTATTGGCATTTGTAGATTTTGCATGAATTCCTCTTTAAAACATCTTTTATTTGATGGAAATTGGTTGAGTATTAGCAAAATTACGAATGTCTAATTCATTGGATGTCAGCCATTTAGGTTTTGAGAAAACAGCTTCTAAAGATTGCAAAATCAGTAAGTTTATTATTAAGATTTTTATTTTAAAAATAATTTGAATATGCTTTTTAGTTAGTAGATTTAATGATTGATATGTTGCAGAAATGTCTTTCTATACATCTTCCTTTATAAAATGCAAAAACCTAAAAACAATCAAAATTCTGATTTAGGTGTTTGTACGAAATTAGAATTTGTGACAAATGGCGGGTTTTGCCGGAGCCGATCACAAATACTTTTCCGCTTTTGCTGAATATTTAGATTTTCTTCCAGATCCAGCAAGCACATAACTTGCCATTTGCAGGTTGAAATTACGATATGGACTAAATCTCTTTAGGAGGCTTAGGACTATCAAATTTGCACATTTCAAATGTTCAAATTTGAAAGCTAAGAAAGTAATCAAATAATAAAAATTATTATTAAACAAATTTAAATTATGGTATTATATTCACCAGCAATAGATAATACACCTTGAAGCCTCAGCAATATATAATACACCTTTAAACCTATTTGTTGAAAGCTGGTTAGTTAGCCTAAGGCTGATAGGTTTCCAGTACTGCAGGAAACACTTAATCATGGACAACTTCCATAAGGTAACACAAAACTATCCCTACCAACAGCTACACTTCACCAATTACTCCTGGATTTGCATTTAAAGCGCTAATTATTCATATAAATCCAAGTTCCATCCAACTTCCTATTGACCAGCAGTAATTAATGTTGAATACAGTAGAATCCCTCCTTGGGGACACTGCTATTAAAGGGACACTTTTTTGGCCATAAAACAAACAAAAATATATTTTTTATTAAAACAGCGACATCACTAATAATAATAATGATGATGATGATGATGATGATGATGATAATAATAACAATATTTTAGTCCTGAAGTTGTCCCGTTAATAGAGATTTTATTGTAGTTGTGAACATTTGTAGACGTACCTCGACCTCCGTTGAAAATGCAGATTCCGCCGTCTAAGCCATCATGGATCTTGTTGTACCTCAGATGTGGGTTGCTATCTGTCTTAATCCACACACCTGCCATAGCATTGTCAAAAATCTCATTATATTCCAATACTCCCATTCCTAAAAAAAAAGGGGGAAAAAAATAATTAAAACATTTTACAAACATTAGGGCCTTAAAAGGATTGACCACAAAAATAATTACAATAATTAAGGATTTAATAAACACTGTTAAAGTTAAAACATAACTTGGCACTGAAACGAAAGGGAAAAATTTAACCAGATGCTAAAAACTAGAAAATGGAACTAACAAATGGTGAGGTATGTACAAAAAAGAATTTTTAAAGAAGAGTGAAAAATTCTTGCTGTACAGTATCTAATCTCAGTTGGGAGAGACCAACCGTGAATTATTAAAGCTGCTTACATCATAATCTTTCTTAAAATCATGAATATTTCTAACCTTAAAGAATTAAAATATCTCGTCATAATGCAGTTCTCCCTATTCACATACCTCAAACTTGTAAGTTAAAGTTATTAATAAACTAGAGTTTAAAATTGCCATGATCTATTTCTAGGCCAAGCAGGGGTCTAGGCCAGGTTATACCTTGTTTTGATGTTAAAGACAGTTAATGATGTCCATCTGTTTCACAATACTGATGCATCGTTATGCTGTGTATCGTACTAGTAGTTCACCATGGCATAATAATAATCGTTCCAAACACTGGGCTAATAGGAAATTTTGATTTGGGGGAACGACGCGACGCTAGAACTAAATCACTCATATGTGACCGTCCTGCTGGGCGTCCTACATTCTCTGCATACATAGATTTGGCCAAATTGCATCCTAAAATCCATGCGACGAGAACTTGATGTTCTCGTATGTGCAGATGACTTTTAGTGACGTCCCCAGACGTCTAGCCAAAATTTTCAATTTAAATTTGTATTTTAAATTTATATTTTATTTCTTTTTTTCACTTTATAAATTCTATTAATTGAACACATCACAAAGCCATAGTTACATTCAATATATTAAAAAAAAAAAAATTAAAATAAAACGGCAGATTGTCTTCAGGTCTTGAGAACTCCATTGATGAGTCAACCGAGTGGAGTGGAAAAATTGTAGGATGGATGTGAAATTCAAATAACCTGCATAATGTCTAATAACAAGGTCAAGGTTTACAACCATTATTTCAACCTAAAACCCAGAAATGATAATCTAATGCGACATTAATACCAACAATGCAATAAGATGTGCAGTACACCTACATTTGAAAAAAGCACATGTACGAGTCTAAATAATACAGTATGTACTGTACATTTGGTCTGATTTTTTTGCAGTATTCAAGTACTGTATTAATAACCTTTACAGGAATTTAACACTAACAGTAAAGATTTCCATCCAGGTATTGTTTTGCCAACAAATCTCAGTTTATAAATAACATTATGTTTATGAATGTCAAAAGCATAAACCAATAAGTATGTACTAATGACATCTCATCATGCAAAAAAAAAAAAATTTCTACTTTAAGAACAACTACCATATATTGATATATTATTATAATGATATCTTCATAAAGAGCAGTTAATCGGGAGATTTCATCAGGATTTTAAGTCTGCTACTAAGAGTATTTCTGTTTATTAAATCAATTAATAAATCAATCGTGACGTCATTACTGTAACTCGTAATGTTTTTTATATGGCATTTACATTATTTTGAGCATAATAATCAAACAAAGTACAACAATAATTTCAAATTACCTACTTATTTCTGATAATTTTGCATCAGTTGGGGGAATTGTACTTTATATTCTTTTTATCAAAACGTTTAAAAATAATTCTGATGAGATGGTAATTTAATATAAGTAATAATTCATGAAAAATCATCAATATGATGATGAAAAATCAATGAAACAAGATAAATATGTGTTGCTGTTATAGTATCACATTATAAATAGGCTAATAATATTGTAGTTCAATGATCTGTCTTAAACCCAATGTTGATATCATTTGTACTATCTCTATACTTATCTGCATAACCACTAAAATGTTTTAGAATAGTCAGTAGACGTCGGAACAGTAATTTGCAGATTCGCCAAATGTCCCACATTCACCATGAATGTCGTGTAAAAAGAATATTTTCCTCCAATTCCGCCCGCCTTTCGTAAAATTTAGTTAAAAGCCAGAATTTCTTCACTGCATAGAGCGAATATGTTGTGTACTTTACAAAATAAATGTACTTAATGAAATAGACTGCCTAAAGTCTATCACATCTGTTCAGTGTTTAAGTACGCATTTACAGTCATCAAGGGGATCCACACTCCGGCTATGTTCTCACACGGCTGCTAACCGTTAGATGCCGTGCGTCCATACGAGAAAATCCTGATCCAGATACCAAAAATATGATGATCGAATCACTGGCCAATAAGAAACTGGAAATTGAAAACGCGTACGTGTGCTTGGTTGATGATAGAAAGGTGCTTTTTAACAACTTGACTGTGATTTTTGGGGAAGGTGTCCCCCCACCCCTGTGCACCCTCCTTGATGCGCCACTGGTTAGGAGAAGATGGTGTGAACTTCTCTAAAATTGCATTTGCCAGGTCTGCATTTGAATGTTAGCGTTTCAGTCAGTTCAGAAACATTTCGTTTGTTAATGTTCAATAAAATTCATGTTGACATGGTACACACTAATGACCCATTAAATAATTCAATAAATTATTCACTCTTTTCACCAAGTTACACATTTAATCATTAAACAACTCCACAAATTATTCATCCATTTACAAGTTAAAAAAAAAAAATTGCCTCCTGAAAAAAAAAAAAATAGTACAGCTACTTCAACATTTTTAAGTAGCTAGTAAAAGTTACAATCAATCATAGGATGACAAGCACAGGATTGTAATATTTCTAACGGGCATTACAACAATGAATTCTCGCTCACAAAAAGCACTTGCGTAAAATTTTTGGAATGATGCTTTAAAAATAATCAAACGGGAAAATATAAACTTACCCCCATTGTAGACAAGGATTCCTCCATTCTGCCCACCCCATATCTTGTTCCTTCTGATTAGCGGGTTACTGCCGGTCCTAATCTGTACGCCAGAATACATATGATTGAATATGTCGTTGTCTTCTAATGTGCCGTGTCCGTTGTCGTAGAAGTAGACACCAACCTATTGGCAATACAGATTTAACAGAAAAGATATATAAAATAGGTTTGGGACAGATTATTTCACAATGTTTACATTACTTACAAATTTCTTTTAAAACAATGTCAAAATATAAAGTTGCAAAAATGTTAAGCTTAAGTTTAGTCTACACTATCAAATTTTATGTGACAAATTTGTGTGATGTGCCCATATATGGGCATGGGATGTCATAGTGCCCATATACGGGCATGGGATGTCATAGTGAGAGGTTGGAGAAAGGAGAAAAGTCCCCAGACAAATTTTCCACTACCCTTCCATCCCCTCACTGATACTACTGTACTATGACCGAAACAATTTTTTGTGTAAGTATATAATGAACTTGTTTGATGTTTGTCAATGCTGTCTATATTTGTCTGGGATGAGCCATTTGCTGGCTTTATGGGCCATCCTGGTTCTTCATTCACTCTGTTTACTTTTAGGTTTTTATTGAGATGATATAGGTCATTCTCAAGTGTAGTTTAGAAATACAAAATAGATGTTGCGGCGTTTTTTTTATACGAAATATTTCTTGTTACAGTAGTAGGTGTTTTAAATACTAATGCTGATGACGTCATCATGGCTGACGAGGCGTACGCAAAACGGAGAATTCGTATAACTGAGGTACGTAAAAACGAGGTCCTACTGTAATGTTCAAATCATTTTACTTTCGCTTTGTACAACCATTTCGGTAACATTTTGCGTACTCAATAAATTTCATTTCAATTTAACCTCATCTCATTACCTTAGCTAACATCCCTCCCCATCTCCTTCCAATTGCTCAATATAGTAATATTCCTTGATATGTCCCCTCAAGTAAATACCCCTAAATACACTGCTAGACTACTGGTACAACCTTTGACACAATTCAATCATTCAACCACATGTTAAAATATATCACAAAAATACAGTAGTACTCAAAATGACATTAGTATGACAACAATAGAGAATGAAATTGAACCTAAAGATATTTATCTTTAACCTTTGACATTATAATTGCTCCATCTACAGGTGTAATATCAATGGAGGCAGATCAAGGTGTTTTTGGATGTCATCCCACCCCCTACTCTCGACCCCACAGTTTGACTGCCAAAATTGCATATTTTCATTCTAATTAGATTCAGAATCTAATCTACACAAACTTCCTGTTTCTTTAATAGATACAAATATATATTCAAAATTATCTAGAGCTGCCAATGGGGATAAGCAAACTGACCAGTGGCTTGCGTCAGTAATGCATAGACAACCAGAGCTGCTATGTATAGCAACTATCATGTAAGATAAATTATATAAAGTATATAGTACTAGATTTGTATCAAGAGGAAGTTGCTGATTCCTAAGCATGTCAAATCAGTTTATCCTGCATTGAAATTAGACAGTAAATCTTGTTAGCGTGCAAAGCAAAATTAAGATCAAGGACTAAAATTTTTAAAAACTGAAAAACACAATCATTCTCCTAAAAATGTTTTTTATAAAATATAATATGTTCTCAAACAACATATTACAGTAAAACTAAACCTCTTTGAATTTGCACCAGACTTTTTATATATATTCGGGACTCAATTTAAGTTTAATTTAAAATTTTGAATAATTAATTAGGTAAAAATAACAGAACAAAACAATTCATTAAATTTCTAAATTTCTATGCTGTTTCGGTTAAGCTTCAGTGACAGAGGAAATGTAAGGTCACAGGTTGTGTTTTCCTCAACTAAAAATTTATACTTTCTGTTTAAACTTTTTCCCCTAATCATCCCCTTTTAACTTACTGTTTACAACTCACTGTTAGCCCATTTCATCAACAGATTTGACAGATACCACAGAAAGGCAATTGGAACAGGTGCGCAACACCTGACTATGTCTAGCGTCAATAGCTTACACTTAATTAAAAATTATGAATTCAAATTAAACAACAAGGTGCAAAATAAAAGAAACATGCAAAAATAAATACATCGTTATTATTTCATTAACTTAAATATTATCATCATAATTATAATAATCATCATGATAAATGTAACAGAAATAATATTATGCATAATAATAAACAACAATGAAATGTAAAAAATATAAACAATTAATATAAAATCATACATTAATAAAAGTAAAAATAATAAAGAAAAAATATAAGAATGAGAATATTAAAAATAAAATATAATTAGCATTAATTTGAATAACAAAAATAACAAAATAATAAAACAATAATAATAAAATATAGTATGACAATAATAACTAAAATCATAATAATGTTTCAAAATGCAAAAAAAGGTGTAAACCCCTTGAACTTACCTGTTTTCCACTGTGTATCCTGTTACGCCTAAGTTCTGGACAGCTACCTGTGGTTACCCAGACACCAGCTAGAGTATTACTGTACACCTCATTCTCAATGATTAACCCTTTGCCCTTTTCATGCTGCAACAGAGAAACAAACATGTTAGGGTCATGTCAGAACTAATATAAATGTATTTTTGTTTTTATACAAATTATTATGAAATGTTTCTACTAAACAGGTTAATGGTTTATACATTACTACATAAAAAATACATTCTTTAAACTCTGTATGATAAAACACGTTAAAGGGTTCTGATTGGCCAGTTTTCATGTTTAAATGACATTCCAGAAAAGTACATTATAAAAAGAGCACAAGTCACTCTTGTGAACATTTTTTGACTGAATTGTTGAAAGAAGTATTATTCACACGCTCCCTCTTTCAAACATATATTACACAACGTACCACATAAATTCCCCCATGTTGTCCGTCATGAATTCTGTTGCCTCGGATGATCGGGTTACTGTTTGTACGAATCTGGATGCCAGCGAGTGCGTTACTATGTATATTATTGTTCTCGATCAGACCTCGTCCTTCTCCAAATATATACACGCCCCCTTGATGTCCATTGAAAATTTCATTCCCCCTAGTAAAAAAGATTCATGAAAATTGTTAGGTTTGTGGCTGAAAATATACTACTATACCTCAGCCAATCAGTGGACTAGACAGCTGATGATATTAACATTATTAGTAGGATTATGTTGGCTTACATAAATACCATACAATAATTGATCTTATAGTATTAAATGATGTACCACCAGTCAGTTATTTCTACGTGCTTTATTAATTTTTATGTGAAAAACACCAGTGATTAATTTACAATAACTTTATAACTATCTATGACATTATCATGGCCACATTTGAATATGACATGACATTATCATGCCCATATGAATATGACATGATATTACCTTGCCCTTATATGAATAAAGCCCTCCAGACAGAGCTGCAATACCGCAATATTGCAGTAAGCATGCCGGCATGGGTTTCTGTCTGAAAGGATCAATACGCCATATGCCGGCGTACTTTAGGCCACCATGCACCCTAGTAATATTGCCGCAATATTGCGGTATGGGTTACTGGCTTGCTCTGTCTGAAAGGGTCTACTCAATATTGTGGCAATCAAGCCGACATGTGCATTTATGCTTAAACAAACAAGGTTAAAGTTGAAAACAATTGTACGGTGGTATTTAAACCGCCAGTATTACGCCATTTCAAAGGACCATTTCAGACAGAAATTTACCACAATATTGCGTTAACAAGGTGCTGTGTGAAAGGGTATAGACCTGTTATTATGCCGGCATGCTTACCGCAACATTGCAGCAACGTCTATCTGAAAGTGGCTTAAGACATGACATTATCATGCCCTTATAAATGAGCAAAAGGCATTGGGAGCTTTCATTATCTTCGTCAAGAACCAATCCACCGAGAAAATTTCCAAAAACATGTGACATGCCTAAATATGGTCATGATGACATCACATCATCACCATATATAGGCACATCATGACTTTATATGGGGATTTTTTTTTTTGACAATCTGGACAGAGCTGATTTATGTAATTTTACTTTACTTGATTAACATGTGTACACATGGGCATTTCACATTCCCCCTACTTTAAAGTTCCACCAACTTTATAGTTTCCCCCTACCTTATAGTGGGATCACTGTTGGAAGTAATCCATACTCCTGCAAATGTGTTGCTATGGATCTTGTTATCGATGAATTCCCCGCGGCCGTTCTCGTGCACGTATATTCCCCCGGTCTGGCCATGATGGATTTCACAGTGTACAACCGTCGGATTAGCACCGGCTTTCACCTCGAATCCAGCAATTCGGTTGTCGTGGATATCGCATTTGTCAAAATAGCCCTGAAAAAATTACATTTCAATATAAAAAGAATAATTTCCACAAACATACTTTAACACACAAGTAAATAGACATCACTGTTAGTGCCTACTACAATTATAACTAAAAAAGAATTATGTCACAATAATATGCCTTACCAGTCCATTATCGAATGTGAAGACACCAACGTCACGACCGTCATGTACATGACATCGTCGAATGATTGGATTTGCGTAGTTCTTAACCCACACACCAGCTAACGCATTGTTGCTGATTTCGTTGTCAACATATGTTCCCTAGAAAAAACAGACAAGAAAAATTTTATTTATGGAAAACCTAAGTATATTTATTCAAGTCTATTAATTAATATTTTTCAAGTTTGTGTAAATGAGCTGTTAGGATAAGCCAAATGTGGATATAAAAGCAGTATTGTTGTAACTATGTGTATTGTATGCATGCAGGTGTTTGTATCTGAGCAAGACTTATAATATTACCTCCTTATAAAATTGGTTTGGCACTCTCAGCCAGTGTAAAAAAAATTTAATAACAAAAAAAACCAAAAACAAAAAAAGTAAGTGAGTATTATGCAACAGTTGACTAAGGCAGGTGTTATTTAGATTATTGGGAAGCCAACTTACCTGTGCATGATCGTTAATATACAGACCGACATTCTCACACTTGTTGATAACGCAGTTCTTGATGACCGGGGCAGCACCTTTACCATTCACACTAACAGCACATCCAACTGTAATCACATCAAAAAGGAAAGTATTTGAGATAAGAAAAAAGAAAATTGTTTAAGATACAGGGGGAAAAAACCCAGACATACCGTACGACAGGTGTTGAAAAACAGTAATGAATACAATGTACATAAAGATAAGGCCCAATATTATTAGTTTATCACCCTTGCACACATGTCTTCTATGGTATTAAAAAAATGTTGTTTTTCTTTTTCATTTTTTTTAAATAGTTGTTAGATATTGCTTGTATTATCTCAATCATATTTTACTTTGAATATCAATGCACCAGCAAATAACCCAAGGGTGATATTTGGCTTTAGTGAAATAAAAAATGAAAATAAAAAGTCTCCCTCTCTCATTACTTTTCCAGCTTAGATGGGGTGATAAATTAATATTTCTTCTATAGGGCCTAACAATAAGGTTTTTATAGTCCAAAACATTCAAAGAAATGATTAACAGACACTTCTGAGTAAAACTGTAAATCAGCACAGCCCAGAACAACTCAGAAAGGGTCTGGGAATCAAAGTCTCTCAAAAGATTAGACAGTTTAGGAATTAGCAACCAACCCAAGTGACTACAGTAGAGTAAAGGAACAGGATAAAAAATTGCCCTGTTATACAATTCATCTGATAAGATTGCATACTCATCAAAGTTCAACACCAAGACAGAGACTTCCAAGAAGACGCAAGCCAGTAACAAATGACAAATGCTAGCTTTTACCTTTCAACTATTTAAAAAAAAAAAAAAAAAAAAAAAAACATTCTTTCGTCTCTGAGGCAAATTATTATCAAGCCTGATGCCAGACGTTTCAATATTATACATCAGAGGTCAAACTGTCAAAAAAAATTACACATTTTATTTTATCTCATCTCTAAAATCAGATCAAAATTGTTTTTTTTTAATGGATTTGTTCGGTGTAAACACCAAGGATAACCCACAAAAGTCTGAAGATGACTAATTTCCAGTAGGGTCTTTCTTGTGGTGATTGGGCAGTACAATTCCCTACGCTTTTCCGAAGAGTTTACTGCGTTCTTTAACATGCACATGGGCGATAATGCACACTGGACATCACATTTAAAAGTCTCATAGGAAAGACGGCGCGCCATCGTAACTTGCATTTCAGCCCTCCAGTTGAAATAAAAGGAGAGCAGCGATGGGAATTGAACCGGGGACCAAGAGATCTTCACGGTTCAGCGTGCACACAGTGGCTACCACCAGTTTAGCCGACTGAGCTAAGTTGCTCGTGCTCTTTCCACACTATCATAACTTTGTGTGATTTACAGTATGTGATGTTACCATATATAGGCATGATTATGTCATATTACTGTACATTCAACATGAGACATGCCCAAATATGGTCATGATGACATCACAAAATGACAATATATACGCATATCATGACTAAATACGGGCATTCAACAGTTTTTGTTTTTTTACAAGAATAAGAATTTAAGAATATTTGATAGACTCTGGAAGGTGCTTTAAATAATAAATTACTACCTTGTGATTTACTCTGTATGGTACAGCCGTCTATAGTTGGCCAACAATTTGTTCCAATTTCTATGCAAGAATTTTTATGATGTGAACTAGAGTTTGGATCTGGAGTGAACTGAAAGACAGAAAAAAAATTAATCATTTATTATTATTGGAATTTAATGACATGACTGGAATCATAAATTATGAGAATTCATCAATAAATGAATGAATAATAAATTGATACATTATAATCTATCATACTTTATTAGAACATAATAATGAAATTTATAGCTTTTGACTATATAAATCTGACTATTTATTATCTATGTAGTACACATCATTCAAATGCATTGCTTGCATATATCTATAAATCAACATCATGTTGAATATTGAGGGGATTGTTTTTCATCAACTATTATTCTATCATTGTGGACTATGCAAGATGTCCCTGACAAATTTCCTGTTTGCAGAAACTGTAGACTGCCAACTTAACTGTGGACTATATTGACTAAACTGTAGACTTTTAGCTGTGGACTACTGACTAAAACTGTAGACTGCTAACTTACCTGTGGACTATTGTGCATAAGAAGTTAACAAACATTGGACTCTTGACTAAACTGTGAATTAATGACTTGGGAACTAAGAACTGCTGACAAAATCATGGACTGCTAGAAAAACTGTTGACTGTGAATAAACTGCAGCCTGATAACTAAACTATAAACTGCAGATTGAACATGGACTATTTACTTTACACATTTATAAAAAAAAAACACCACAAAATGGGAAATTTTTCCAATTAATATTAATACTATTCACAGTAAATTGATTGAATTTGGTCATTTAACCTTCTTGTTGAATGCTGCCAATGTGCAATAAACTTGTTTGTAGTAATTACACAACCTTATCAGTGAGTAACCAATTATTCTACTTCTTCTTAATACACCCATAAGAGGCAGACTACCATATAACATCGGTTATCAGTAATCAAAGGCTGTTGCAGCTGTAATTATTCCTTTTATATTAAAATACTAGTCCAAAGCCCATTGGCTGTGAAACAACATGTGACATAATAAAACATATGCCTAAGTACCTAAAACACTATAAACTCATCAAACAACACATTTGAACCATTAAGTACCAGTAATCAGAGATAAAAAAAAAATTAGAAGTAATCAAAAAACAATCTTTCAAAGAAAAAAAAATAACAGACCAAAACTGACCTACATACAACTAACCTATATTTATTGTTTTCATTATGTCATGAAATTGAACAATGGACTATAAAGTTGGGTGTTTCGAATTCTAGGCCATGTAAATCAAAATTTGCATAATGCTGGATTAGTGAAACACATTTCTAGACTGAATTGTTCTTAAACTTGTTTCTAAACAATCATCTGTTGTGGATACACAATACAAGCATGTACAGTAGTAGTAGTACATACTGAAGCATTACAGCTCAAATGACCTTTGACATGAGTAAATGAAACATAATGTGGTAATTAGTGTATTAGGAATATTGGAAATCAAGCATTCCTAAACTCATCAAATAATATAATAAAACCACAAAATGTAGTAATAACAGCTATTTTAATTTTTTATATATATTTGTTATCACACTTGCGTAGTAAATCAATCTTTTAATATCATATCATTAACCAGGATTGACCTAGATATATAATTAACCTATTTATTTTTTATATTTTCATTTTTTTTTTTCAAGTGAACAATGGCCTATAAAGTTGGGTGTTTCGAACAGGCCAATCAAATCGAACGTTGTATTAAATGCTGGTATTAACAAAAACAAATTAGATTTCAACTGTTCTTGAACAATAATGAAAGTGGCATTTATATTTTTACATGCATGTACAAGTTAAATCATGATACAGACTTTGCATCCTTAAGAATGAAGTCTTCAACGACCTTTAACATGAATAAATTAAGCATTTAATTATGTAATTACTGTTTCATGAATTGAATATTGGAAAGCGAAAATGTGTTGGTGAATAATGAAGGAAAACACATGAACAGTGTATAATGTAGAAAAATGCATGAATGCAGTATAATTTAGGAAGCACACAACTTCCAGAGGAACTAATAGCAGGCTAGTGAGACTTGGATTTTTGTAAATACCATTTTCTTAGCATTAAGTAAAGAGGTATATTTTCCGTATTACGATTTGTCAGGCAGAACCTTGTGGTTGCATCATTTTCTACAAAACATAAAATATCTCCAAAAACAAATTCCTAAATTTTCTTCCTCTTTTCTCTAGAATAGATTTCAACCATGTTACGCTTAAATATAGATTGAATTAAATTCCTATTAAGTGAATTTTTAAAAATAAATTTCATATTAAATTGATACATAGAGTACACAGCACATTATAGATTGTATTATTATCAATATTATTATTACCATTTGTATTATTGTTACTATTACAGTAGCAGCTCAGCTGAAGTACTATAATTAATTTTCTGTGTAGATTCTGTGGCTATAATATTGCTGTAATTATTATTATTATTATTATATACTATTAGCTATGTACTGTACTATATCTTATTTATGCTACAGTAGATGCCACGATGATCTTCGAGTACTGTACTCCAGGCCCAACACTTAAGTTCCAGTCTATTTCTACTTGATAAAACTAGCAGTACAAATGTAGCGTTAACACAAATATTAATATTAAGCGTACTTCTGATGTACAGTTCTGAACATGGGATAACACAATATGTTGTTGATTTAACGTCTGTTACATTCCCACATTCATTCGAAGTTGTGCACTCAATATAATCATGTACGTTGTTAAGTGTTTACAATTTCAAAATGGACAAAAGGAAAAGAGGAACCCATTAAAATCATAATGTGAAAATATAATAATTCAAATTCATACTGAATTCATACTCAAGTGGTTGCGCGAGTTGAGTGGTTTGTGGTGCTTATACCTAACATGTTGCAGGTTGAAACTGCTGTTTGGTAGGAGGAACCAAGCCTTCTCAGATAAGAACTCAAAACTGAAGGTTTTGAGCAGAGCGGTTGTTTGAGAGATATTGTTCCTGCTTCTTAAGCTAGAGACTCCGGTTCAAACCTGGAGTCTGATTGCTTGGCTCCTCAAATAACCCTCATATTGGCCGTATTCGACTGATTGTTCTAAGTTGTTAAACCATGCCCACATGCGCAGTGGTAAAATCCTACTTAACGAAGACGATCAGTCAAATGAAAAACTGGTAAATACTCAACAAAACAAAATCGCTCCATAGCTACCGTGATACATTCTGCGTAATCAAGGCTGCTTAGGATTGTCACAGTATGGGTTTTTGTAAAAAAATGTTTTCATCCAGTTTTTGAATTCTGTTAACCTACAATTATTTTTTGACTTCAATGTGGGTAAATATTATAATTTTTATTTTCTTAAATTTAATCTAAATTATATAAACGCAAATGTTGTTGCTAAACTAACCAATCAGCCATATTTTTTTTGGTCATGTGCATAACTTAACACTGATTAACGCATTCTGGTTACGTTAATTTTCGTTGTCAACAAAGTCTATTTTACGAACCAGTCGAATGAAAATAATACTCAATGAAAATTCGTACTCAACGAAATGAACCAGTCGAATAAGCCCATTGAGAATTAGGTATGTTAAGGACAATGTTTGTATCCATATGTCTCCGTTAGTTGCAGTTGTCAGATGGTACACTAGTGCGGCTACCGTTGGTTCCAAGGGGCCCAGAGAAAATTTCCAATTGGAATGAGGACAAATAAAGAATTTTTAATTCTAATATTATTATAGTTAGGGTCTATTGTTTCCAATTAAATCATGTGCACAGGAAGGGAGGGGGGGGGAAGGGAGTGTGGGTTACCTAAAAGCTCTGGTCCACTCCTAGCCCATTATTGTGGAAAGATGACTGTGTGCACCTCTATAGTCACTGACCATGCTAGTATGCAATTCAGCACAACAATATCAGTTACATCCTATAACATTTTTTACCTTGAACAACAGGTATACAAGATCAAATTTAATTGGTAAAAGAATTGCAATAATTCACCAAATTACTGATTTACTTTGCACAAGAGCAATCCAAGTGTCTGTGCTCTGTACAATTACCGATTATACTGACCAAGTGACTGATTGATAGGTAAGTTTATATTTTGTGACTTATTCTTTATCATCTTCTAAGCTCAAATTCAAAGAATATCGACTCTTAATAAGAAGATATCTTAGTGTATGCTTTCAACAGACGTTGACATTTAGGTAAAGCATTCCTCAGAGGTCTTAAGTATATTAATTGATTGATTGATTGATATTTATTATCTGTTCTTAATTATCTACTGCTGGAACATACTCAATTCAATTAAACTTCAACAGAGGAATATGATGTATGAGACGGTATGATGTTGCCTTATTATTCAACGCATATTTTAATCAATTAGTCTATGCTGGCGTCGCTCACTACAAACGTATATTACTTGGAACAAATGCAGGTCTACATGTTCAGGGCTGGAGAACATGCTAAACCAGCACAGGGAGGCAACTCGCACTTCTCAAAACCCATTTCAACATTACTGTATTTGTTCTCTCCAGACAATCTGTTGGAATATACAGTAGTTAATCACATTATGTTTTGCACTGGAGGCATTTTTATAATACTCTTTACAGACAGAGGCATAAAGGAATTTTTTAACTACAAAATATCAAAATAAATTACTGTATGCTAATTAATAAGTCTGTTGAACTGTCAAATTGCGAATATTTATTTTTGTAGGCTAATGATAAAGAAGATAGCAATGACCAGACATCTGTTATGAATATAAGATCGCTGATCACATCTACTGTAGCATTATGCTTATCTAGACTATGTACTGTACAAAGTATCTTGAGCCAAAGAATTTGTATAGGACAAGAATGAGCCCTTCGCATAACTTGCATTAAAATTGATAGAATGATTACGAGCGGGGGACTATTTGATGAAGTGAGAAAAACTAACAGTAAACAGACTTGATTGAACCAAAGATAATATGAAGGGCGCCAGCATGTTTGTCACTGAAATATTAAAAGTACGGAACAAGCTTTTAATAGCAAGCTTTTTATTTGTTCGATGATGCGACGCTAGAATGGAATCACTCATGCATGA